TTATTTTTTTAGCAGAAGGAAAGGAACTTGTTTTCTTTCCTTATTTTCACAAGAAGAGTTAAAGGCGAACTTCTAACTTCAAATTCTTTTTATAAAATGGGAAGGGTTCGGGTGGGATTATCACTTGTATTTCATGAAGAAAGTGCATATAATTAATTTTTTGTTTTGTTTGTCTTTCGTGAGTAGAGAGCAGTGGTTTACTTCTTGTCATAGTTTATTGTGAGACGAAGGAAGGAGCTTTTTCTGCTTCTAATTTTCTTCAGAAAAGAGAGAAGCAAGGGCGCCCGCAGAAAACAAAATAGGGAGGGTCAAGTAACTCAAGTTTTAAAAAATTATGAAATCGAAATACAAATACCTTATGATTTTCCAATAACATAGAAGAATAATTTTACATATCTAGTATTTTTTTCTTTTTGAAAATCTAAGGGGGTCACTTGACCCCCTTGCCCTTCCTGCGGGCGCCCATGGAGAGGAGGTAGTTTCTTACGTTTCGTTTTCTGACAAGGAAATAAAAGAGAACTTTTTACTTTCCCCGATTTCTTCATCATTTCGTTTCATACAAAAGATGACATTTCTTGTCCCTTATTTCTCATCATAAAGAAGAACGGAGTATTATTCCATCACCCTTTTTGTATGAAGCTTAGGAGAAAACTTTACGATTATATTTTAATTTGAAACAGTAATAAATGTATAAAAGGTGCTGGTTCAAATCGGGATATAAAATTATTTTCGTTAACTTTGAATCGACCAGTTTCGGTTAAGATGTCTACAGCTAACAACACGGTAGGACGAAAGAAACCTGAATACTAAATTTACCTGGAAAGTCTCAAACACTTTTGTTTGAAAGAAAGGTGGAGATGTTGGTGTATGAAAGGAAATTAAATGAATGAAAAATTAAATGTAGTTTTTACGAATATGTGTATAATAGTATTGAGCCTGTAGCTTCAAGCTGTGGTATAACTTATAAATCGGAAATTAAAATGGACTGTAAAACACAATGATAAACTAAATGCGGCTTTACCCTTGTGCGATTGCATTAATTACATGATTAAGAACTGACAAACATTTAGACAAGTTAGGTTTAACTGGCGTTTAATTGGACGATTTTTCTCGTGTTGAGGAAAAATGCATGCTTCTTATGACATTCACTAGAGAAGTAAAAAGGTATATATATAGATCTTGGATATGGCATGATATTAATGAATGTATGTAGGCTTAGATCACTTCATGATCATATTTTAAAGTTTCTCTTCAAAATTTGGAATTTCTATATTTTTCAATATTTATTCACGTTTCACACCTCTGAGACCTAAACTGTTCAAACTAGAGTTCAATCACCGGAAGTGTAAGTTACTTGTAACTGCACACTCAACGAAACAGATCTTTACTAGATATAAAAGTCTTAATGAGCTTTGATATCAAGAAGCAAACTTAAACTTTCCCCGCCTCATTATGTGTTAGCTAATAACCAGTGTGATAATTCATAAAACTCTAAAACAATTTACAACACTATTACAAATGTTTCAACACGTGATTTAAATGATAAAACAAAGGAATTGTTAAGCTGTGAGATGAATATTTCAATGTAAGATTGTTCTAACGGGTTGAATCACAGATATAGTAAACAGTATGTATATTTCCAGCTAATTACATTTGGACCTTTTGATAATGGCATATTCTGGCTTTAGCATAAACTATGAAAGAAAACAAAAGCAATGAAAAAAACTGTGATAATTTATGTAATTATATATAACGTCTCGTTGCCATAAAGACGCGCCCCGGATTTGAGGTCGAGAGTGCATTATAATACTGACGGTTAAATCCCACTGTTCGGTTGTTTGTTTGTTTGTTATGAATTTCGCGACAAGCTAAACGAGGCTATCTGCGTTAGCCGTTCCTAATTTAGCAGTATAAGACTAGAGGAAAGGCAGCTAGTCATCACCACCCACCGCCAACTCTTGGGCTACTCTTTTATCAACGAATAGTGGGATTGACCGTCACATTATAATGCCCTCACGGCTGAAAGGGCGAGCATGTTTAGTGTGAACGGGATTCGAACTCGCGACCCGCAGATTACGAGTCTAGCACCCTAACCACCTGGCCATGCTGGACCCCAACTGTTCGGTCAGACAAGAATAGTCCAAGAGTTGGCGGGTGGACGTTGTTAACTAGCTGTTCTTCCTAGTACAGTTTATCAGTTTAAAATTACGGACGGCTATTTGAAGACAGCCTTTTGTGTAACTTTGTATGTAAATTGTGGAACAAGTAATTAATAATTATATATTATTACTTTCCTGTAATTCGTAGTAATAACGATAATAATAATGCATATATATATATATATATATAATTATTACTTTATTTTTGTATCTGTTTCATAGTTTTTCTTTCTTAGTTTTACCTTATTTTATGCTGAAGATGAAATATGCAAATTCCATAACGTCCAAATATATAAATACCTTGCCATTCAGCTATAATTAAATATCTCTAGTCCTTCTGTTTTAGTACATACAATAAATGTCTTATTTAATTTTTATATAATTCTACTATTGAATAATCACATGTTCTTTTGTACAATTTTCGAAACTGGACTTTTATACACTATGAATTAGTTTAACTTTTGAAGAAACCCAGTAAATTTCCAGCTTGGAAATATTTTCCGCTATCACCTTTAATATTAACTAAAAAATGTCTACAGATGTCAGTTTTGTGCAACAGTTTGTGTTAACTTAGCTATTTACCAGTGGTTCCCAACCTGAGGGTCCGCGTAAGTAATACCATCTCATTAAACAAGTAAGTTTTTTAATACTGATGTGTTTTTTTAATTGCACACTCAGTTATATATGTATTTTATTTGATAGTGAAAAATGGGAGAACGAGTTACTTATTAGTTAATAAAAATAGTTTGTTGGGTAGGAGGAATCTTTCAAAAACATGGGGTCCGTGGGGGAAAAAAATGATAATAAAAGGGGTCCTTGGTGGAGAAAAGGTTGGGAACCACTGCTATAAGCTAAGGAACAATCTTTGTTAGATGTGACGGTTATTAAAACGTAAAGTAGCAGTGACACAACCTTCATAGAATCAATACTCTATTGTTGTATTCTACAATTCGTTGCACATTAGTACCAAATTATAAGACTGGTGATTAAAATGTCAACTTTTAATTCTTCACACATTTCCGATTAACATTCTGATTAATCATTTCTTCTTAAAATATTTACATATTGTTGCCTAATTTCCAAATTTAGCGAATACTGCAAATGGAAAAATACTTAAGACACATTTTAAAAGGTGGCAGCACATACAATAACGCCCTTCGATGTAAATAACCGTCAAATCTGTGTATGTTTTTGCGCATTCGTTTTTAATAATGTGATAGATAATATATCTTGTAAGTATCTAAAAAAGTATCAGTAACACGTTAATTGCTTCTTTGATGATTATCATTTACTTGTTTTGTATTGGATTAAGCAAGTTGAAATTTGTACACAAAAATTACATTGTTTATTGGTATTCCAAAGGCGATAATATTATTTTACAAATTGATGAAAGATTTCTAGAAGCGAATTCATTTTTAAAAAATGTTAAACTTATAGTGTTTATGTATAAATTGAATTAGATGTTATTATTCCAGTTCTACAAAACATTAATGTAGAGCTTAAAAGATAGTAAGGAAAGCGTCAAAATATAAAAACAAACAGAATAACTAACAGGTGGCGCCATCGTGTAGGATTAAGAGAACACGTAGAAATGAGATGTTTCATGAAATAAAAAGAAATGCCAATATATTAGAGTTTCTTTTTATGGACATGTAGGATACATGAAGATGGAACTATTGTTTCTTAACTGTGATAAAAAGACGTAAATGATATATAAAGATTAAAAAAGTTAAGGTGATAATTAATCCACTGTTCTTCTGCATTTTATGTCAAAACAGTACAAAGTACATTACCAGTGGTCCCCCGGTTGGACAGCGGTAAGTCTTCGGATTTACAACGCTAAAATCAACGGTTCAATTCCCATCGGTGAACACTGCAGATAGCCCGATGTGGCTTTGCTATAACAAAACACACACGCACATACATTATCCGTGAGCTGAATAATATCAAACAAACAAGAAAACAAAAATAAAGCTGAGTGTAAAATTTAACTATTGTAAATTATATGAACATTACATTTCTTAAGTTTAGTGATGGTCCAGTTTTGAGTGACATAAAATGATAATAAAGATTGAAAATTTGATTGTCGTTTTTAGGTAATTGCAGTTTAATTAAATAAAACTAAACATAACGGCGTACAAAAAAATATTCCTGTTCATTTCTTATAAATCAGTAAAATATAAAGTTCTTTTTAATCACTTATCTATATAATCAATACGCTTGCGTTTGTCTGTCTGGAACTTTTCTCGGAAATTTCTCGATCATACGCGTCCCCCTCCCCCGTGACACTGAGGTATGTATGCGAATTTACAACGCTATAAACCGGGTTTCGATGCCAATGGTGAGCACAACGCACATATCCCATCGTGTAGCTTTGTGCTTAACATTAAACAAACCAAACCAATCAAACACTACAAATCTCATATTGTTAGAAAGGCTTTTGTCCGCCGTTCATCATGTTACGTATCTGATTGTTTGTTTGTTTCTGGTAGAAATTCTTTCTGAGGATCTTCAGCGATACAAGTCCTTTATTAATTAAACCAGTCTATTCATCCTCGATACAAACTTTTAGTACACAGAAGTTCCAGAATCAGCACGTTTCTCGTCACTTTAAAC